GCATGCTCCTACATCTGGATGTACCCAGCAGCACGAGCTCGAAGCTCGTCCATGTCGGGAGGAGGTCGTCGGCAAAGGCTGAAAGGTCTTGGCTTCAACGCCATGAGCATGGAGTGCAGTGCGACCTCGGGGTATAAGTTGCGGATTTTGACGGAGACGCCAGCGAAGCGCTCCATGAATGTCCTTAATGGTTCGTCGTCGCCCTGGGATGGCCAAGGCGGCGGATGTGATGTGATGAGGTCGGCTCGTTGCATATTGCGCCGTGAATCGCCTTACCAGAGTGGTGAAACTGTTGATCGACTCAGTAGGGAGCTGGGTGTACCAATTGAGTGCAGCCCCCTTGAGCGAGGTCGGAAAAACCCTACACAGAATAGCATCGTTATTGGTGTAGAGGTTTACCTGTGTTGTATATAGGTCGATGTGCTCATCCGGGTCTGTCGTGCCGTCGTAACGGTCGGGGTGGAAAGGTTTCCATCCGTGAGGAGCGGCGTCTCCATGATGCCATCCACGAAAGGGTGACGGCGGAAGGTAGCTTGATCCCCCCGTGACATGAGTAGGGGCCTTGCTGAGTTCATGGGCCGACTTGTTCGTCGGTGCATGAGACCGATGTGTGGCAGGGCGTGGAGTCGAATGAATTACCCTATATAAATTCTCCATCCAAACATATCATTAAAGAAAAGGGAAGTTGAATGGAAAACATCTCCAAAGTGTTTCTTTTTTATGTTTTTAAAACACTAGTTTAGGAAATCATTCCGATACTAAATAATTTTTTAAATAGAAATTGATTGTTGAATAGTGTAGAATTGTTTTAGAAAACAGTTTTTAAAACAAAAAGTGAGTAGGGAATCAACAGAACCTAAGATTTTTTCTTCTTTTGCAAGCGCATCAATCATGAACCACTAATCTTTAAAGGGGTGCCTCACGATGTAATCCCAATTCCAAAGTATAGTTTTTTCATATCAGCGAGGATCGGAACCAAATGATGAACTGGAATACCAGTGCCACTCCAAATGTCTAGGAAAGAGTAGAAGAATCCGAGTCACCTCAGAATAGCCGGGAGCTAATGCCAAAGCCTTTTCAGCATCTTCGAGGGCACCAGAGTAGTTGCCCAATTCCAGTCTTACATATGACCTAAATATCAAAATACATAATAGCGTAGTTATTTTAACTCGCGCCAAATTGATAAGGGATAATTATGAAACTAACTACCAACCAAGTAACCAACGATACAGAATGCATAATCAACAAACCTGCATTTAAATGCGACATGCATGCCACCAAATGGTTTTAAATCTATAGCCTGCATCAATTATTTTGAAAATGTAGCACTGCACAATCGGTCTCCCTCGGAATTCAAGAATATTTCCTTATTAAAGAATGTGTACCTGTGAGAGCAGAAGCTCAGCCTCAGTGAAATTTCGGTTCGCAAACTCAATATCCGCTCTCTTCCTCAGAGCAAGCGCATCCAAACAACTATTGGGGTCATAGCCTCCGGCGTAGAGAGTCACCATAAGCTCGGCCGCCCGAGCAGCCGTCCCGCAGTGGCCGACGATGAGGCCATCAGGCAAGAGCACCAAGTTGGGGCCGCCACCGCACCGCCCCAAGCAGCCGCAGGACTTTACGGCAACGTTTGGAGGAGCTAGGCCAGAGAGGGTTTCTAGGGTTTGAAATGAGCCCTGTCTGCGGCAGGTGCGGTTAGTACACACCCGAATTTCCTGGACTTGCTGTGCTTTGGCGCGGCAATCAACACGACAACATCGTTTGACGGGTATGGATGACGCTACATAAGAACTAAGCAAGACATTGTGACCGCTGTCCATCTATTGTTTCAAGTTTAAGCTCCACTTCAATCTGTTCTTTTCAATGGAATAGAATGTGGTATGGAACCACATTATCGTATCTAAAAATATTAAATAGTATATTCACCCCAAAAAATAACAATAATTACAAATAGTGTCTGCCATTAGCTCCGTAATTCTTCCAAATATGATTTTTTTTATATTAGTTTTGAAGAATTTTCGACATTTATTTATTAAAAGCGACTCTTTATTTTTATTATACTCTAAAAAAATTTAAAACTTATCTTTTTTCCTCCCTTCTCGGTCTCTCTCAAGTCCTTTTTAAATTAATTTACTTCACTATTTGTAATTTTTTTTATTATAGCACAGTAGTGAAAACTAATATTATGTTTTATTGTTGGTGTGAACTCATTTTCATGTGATTTTTATAATATCTATGATTTTTTATTCTTAAACTTAATAAGAAAAATTTTACATAATTTGTCTCGATCGACATTTTTCACAAACTTTACGAAAGAAGACCCTTATTTTTATAGTTGTAATTCCTTAATAAGTTAATTTCAAATTAAATTATTGAAAGAAAATAAGTTTTATTTCTTGAATTAATAAAAAAATAAAAATAAAAATTGTGTTCCAAATTCAAAAATGATCATTATTTTGTAAAATACTAAATTGATCTAAATTTAAAGAATAAAAGATAAAAACAAATATTTTGAAAGTTAAAAGACTAAAATGAATATGAAAAATAAAATAAATAACTAAATGTATAATTTAACTTAATTTTTTTCTAAATATCTTTTCACGAAAATATGTATATATTGCGTAAATATAAAAACAAAGCATATTTCCATTATATAATGAGGTTTTATTATAAAAATAGTTTTGTATTCTTGTATTTTCGTAGTTTGACCCATAACACATAATAAATAGCATAATATAATTTTTCAAACATAACATAAGAAGAGAAAACATAGTTAAAACAAATTTTGTTTGACAAAGTTTGTTGTTATGGTTGAGTTAAGCTAGTGATGGGCTCCTCATCGAGGCTGGATAATAGTTCTATTTGTTGAAAGCTGGTCATAATTTGACGCACACAGGGTCTTGCCATTGAACCTTACCATCTATAGTTTAATAAGCTCCAGAGTTTCATTTTGCTTGAAGATGGAAAACGTCGCTACTACATCATCGTTTTGTAGAAGTTTAACAGCTTCGTGTATAAAACTATCACACCCTATTAATATAAAGAGTTGATAATGAATCTCAGACACTCTTTGGGAATTGTTAGATCTAGTTTATCATTAAAAAGAATATTCTTGAGGGCATTAAGTGTTATGCATACAGTGATCTTAAGTGAATTTGGGACAACACACTCAAACTTAATTCTTTGGAAGTTGTTGTCTGTCTATTATAATAAATAAAATAAAAAAATTGTTGAATTCATAATTTTGTAAGAAAGGATTTGGGAGAAACGTTGAATGATGAAAATCATAAATGTTTATCAACGTCTCCAAACACGACCATTTATATCAAGAGAAACATTGTGTATATACAAAAAGAAAATGATTGAAATTGTACCGATGAAATAACTGATTTTGATTGTTTAAAAATAAAAATGAAAAAATTTAGGTTAAAAAAAATATTAATGAAAAAATACCTAAAAAATTTATTTTTATCATTGTTAGATAAAAAATAATATCTTAAAATATTATCAGTTGATATAGTTATTTAAATTTATATAAAGAGATCATTCTTTATAATTATTATTTTAAATAAGTATTAAAAAGTGGTATTAAATTTAGCATTCAAAATGTATTATGTTGCCAATTATTGTTTAACATTTGAAATATATTTTGTCGCTAATTATGATTATGCCAATTTAGCATCCAAAATAATTCAATTACTTTATTTGTGGCATTAAGCGTAAGTCTCTTGTTCTGTGTTTTTTGGTTTTGTTTTAATGTGTTGATGTGTTATTGTTTGACTTGTAAATGGAACATAATAATGATTATTATGCTATAATGATGTGAATTATGCTCTGTTTTGAAAATGATTGAGAATTTAGCCTATAGTAGTAGGTTTTTCCTATGAGAATTTTGAAACTATAGACATTGCTTGTGAACATGCATCATATGCATTATGAAAAATGATTTTTTTAAGATAATGTTAATTGTACTTGGCTAATGGAAGTCACAAAGGATTGTATACCCCAGTTCTTGGGGAGATTACATCTGGTGGGAAAATCCCAATGGGTCATATTACTAGTTAAAATTGTGGTAAACGACTACTTGCTAGTTTTAGATGATACATGTTACATTTATTCTTAGTCCATTTTTGTAGTGTTTTTTAATGGTACACATGCATGAGAGTGTTGCATTATACATATGTAAGTGATTGGGAATGATATCATATGTTGGACGGTTAATAGTTTATGTGTGTGTGTTTTACTTGTAATGCTTGTTATATTCTGATGTGATGTGAGATGTATCTCACTCTTTATAATTTTCTATTGTTTGTATTTAGGTTGATTGCAATTTGCAAGTGAGTGTGTTATAAATGCTAAGAATGTAGATATAGAGAATGCTTATACCCTCCGACAAATTCAAAACTTTAAATTAACGAGAGAACTTATTTATAAAAACAATACACAACTAAGATGAGTGAGAAATTAAGAAATTAAATGTAGTGATTCAAATGTATAAAGTAGAGTATGACTATTGAGCTAATATTTTGACCGGTCATAACTCATTAAAATCAAAAGCAATATTAAAAGAAAATATGAAATCGTTCATTATGTATCCATGTTTGTGCAGTTGTAAGATTTTTAAGGTTGATTTTTTTTAATAATTATGCTATTATTAATGAAAAGTACTTCTCGATATTATTAATAATTATTTTTTATCAAAAAAAATTAATTGATTACATATTTACTGAAGTTTCTTCTTTCAAATTATTCCTTTTTATCCTATTTTTTAATTGAAATAGTTTAATTTGATTCATTTATAATTAAAAGTTTCATTTATTTAATATTGTTTCTTTTAATCAGACAAAATGATAATATTTTGTATTGTTTTTGAAAATAAAAAAAATGAATTCAACCACTAGAATTGATCGCACGAATTCTAAGTTCGAACTCTGGTCTTGTAATTATAATTTCAATAAATAAAAATAAAAAACTAAAATTAAATGAATCAATTAAATACAAAGAGGAACAAAACGCTAATTTAGTTAGATATTGAATATACATTATTAGACTTTTATATCATTTAAAAATCATTGAATCATTTTGTATTTTTTTATCTAATATTTATAAAAAAAATATTTTTAACTTCCTATTATGTACTTATAAATACATAATAATTTTTTTTAAAATTATACTTTTAATTATTTATTTTATTTTTAAAATTATTTTTAACTCTGTATCTTTAAAAATATCATTTTATTCCTTTATCTTTTAAACTTTAATCAATTTGATCCTTATGAAATAATGATCCTTTTAATTTTAGAATACAATTTTAGAATTTTTTTAATTGATTTAAAACTTAAAAAAAATCCATTTTACATTAAAAAAAATATATGAAATTCAGTTGATATTTAAACTGAAAAGGGCTATAAGTGAAAGTTGGATGAAAAATAAATCGAGCAGAAATTACTTGTAACTTTATCAATGGAATGCGAAAACTTGAGTTGATGAAATTGAAGGACACTGAGTTGATGAAATTGAAAGACACGTAAATTTATCATTTGTCACGAGAATAAAACAAATTTTAGGTATAATACCTTAACTTTTTAAAGGGGGAAAATATCGTGAAGAGAAAAAGATTGAAGATAAGGAGTTTCTCTTATTTACTCTTTTTTTTTTTATATATTAGGAGTTTCAGTTATTTGGAAATAAGAAGGGGAAGAAAAAAAAAACGAAGAAATAGAGACAGGGAGTTCTCTTATTTAAATATATTTATAAAAAAAAGGAAAGAAATGGTGTAGATCCAAAACTTTTTACTATCTATTTTATTCTCTATACAATACACTATTATAATAAGACAAATTGTATATTATATTATTTTATATAAATATAGAAAATATTTTATGTAAAATATAATATAAAATCGATATAAAGTAAAGTTTAATTTTGTTTTTTAACCGATAGGAACTACAATAAAAGTAAAAAGATTCAAGTAGATTGAAATTACATGTTTTACACTTCTTGTCTCACTTTCTATCTTACGAATAAAATTTTGCTACGTTAATTAAAAATCACGTGACTTCTTACCGTTCTTCATCTTGGCGGGCTTAGGCGACTCCGCAGGCACCTTTCCGCTCGCTTTGAACAACTCTCTTGGCATCAGCACCTTATTGAGCTTGTAAGCTACAAGCGAGTCCTAATGTATGAGAGTCGGAGGAGGAAAGGCAGTGAAGAAAGGTGGGACCACTAGGATGGATATGAGATTAGAATTAGGAAGGAAAAGCTACATGCAAGTCATGGTTGGCAACAAAATTTTATTTGAGACGAGTGATTTAAATTCTCATCTAATTCACCGTTATTTTTTTATATTTAATAAAACATGTAAATATGAAATGAAATATATTTATAATTAAAATAAATGATACACTTATCTTTAATTTCTTATTATATATATTTCCTCATTTTAAATACCAAATTCATGTTTTAATTTTCACGTAAATTGAATTAGTATCTCGAAAATCATGGGGCACACTGATGATGTCAGGCCGAAAAAAGCATCCAAACTGTCGATATCTGGCTGCCCCACCAGGCCACCACCTGGGCACCTCCTATATAAATCCATCCAACCCCTGAACGTCTTTTTTTTTTTTTTTTTTCCTTCTTCAATTTATATTATATTAGGAGAAAAAGTGAGTTATTACAACCAATAAATTATGAAGATGAAGTCAATACCCGAACCATACACATTTTGCTGGTTAATCTGTGAAGGTAAAGACCACGTATGGTGCGTTCTTGACTCCCTCCAAAAAGCCAAAAGAATGGTAGTTGATGTGACATGTACGCCAGCAGGCAGTTTGAACCTTGAAACTTGAAAGCAAGCCAAAAAAACAGGTAGCTCTACCACCACCACACCAACATAATGCTCCTGATGGGGCATTCAAAGTCCGAACCACTTCTGGTAAGCATATTTAATTTAATTTAGGTGAAGGAAGCCTTTATTTGGTGGATAATGGAGCCAATAAGATTATTAACATTTGCCACCGAGTCCATATTCAGCTTGGCAGATGGCAAGCTGCTCACTAGAATCTGGAGTGCAATTGTAACTAGTGAACCCCCAGACCCAGACCTGATTGAATTTGAACTCGTTGATGCCCCATCTCCTTCCTGCTCACCCTGCCCATCAGGCAAAATGCTAAATCCGTTTGGTAGTAGGGGAATGTGAGAAGGGTCCTCACCACTCATTGCTATGTTGATGGATGCCAGATCAACCGGGCAATAAACCACAAGTGAACCACACGAATCTATGCAGCTCTCTTGGAGTATTAACATGTTCTCACTGCTTTGCAACCCCTATATATTTATATATATATAAACACAGTGAACGCGTAAATTATTTGTAAAGGGAATTATCTCTAAAAATAAAATGGACAAAAAGACCGTCTTACTCGAAGAACTGATATACTGTTACCAGGGTGCGAACCATTTGCTATGCGCGCAACCTCTTGCACCACATCACCGTTGGAAAGAACATCCCACTAAACAAAAAAAAAAAAAAAAAAAAAAAATTTAATTTAGAAAGCCTCTCCGAGTTCACAGCCATCAAATAACTCCATTAACTTGACTATGTCAACCTGAGGTCTTTTTCTTTCATCCTTGAAGAAATTGAAGACAGTGTGTGGAGGGGTGGGGAGCCAAATGGTAGTGGCTGCACTAAGTACCACACCATTCTGGACAGTGACTCTCACTCCAATCTCATTCAACCCAGAGAGCGTCGTCCATCGGTGCCCACTTGATGTGCTAACGCTGGCACAGAAATTGGTCACCATCCTTTGAGCAAGTTTCATCATGCTCCTCTTGCCCACAGGAGATGAAATTACTGAAATTTAAATCCCGTGTTAAGGTAAGAAAATTAGACATTACCTTACAATCTGTATATTTATTTATATTTATATACCTCCTCCAAGATTATCCCGGGTGGGATTGCTTGTAACCATAAGATAAGTGAGTCTTTCACACATCCTCTGGAGGGTAGCAAGCCATCTTTCAGCTCCAAATGCCATCCCACTATAAATAAGATTTCTGTAAAGCCGATGAGGCAGAGTTTTATCTTCAATTTCTACATGTTCAACCCAGGTAACCTACATGACAACTTAGAAGAGTAACTACAAATGTGTCTTAAGGTTAAGGTTCCATATCAGAGTAGCCGACCGCAGAGATATTGTTTAACATTTACCTTGGAATGCCCGTTAGGCATGTCCTGGAACAAGCAACCAGAAGGACGACGATGAGACCGAAATTCAGGAGCAAAGTGGCTATCTTGTGGAAAATCATAAGAAACGTCCACTACTGCCCACGTGCCTTGCTCAATTTGCTGACAGTAACGCAGGAAGTAGAACTCCCGAGTAGAAACAAGTGGAGATAGCACTTGCAACTCTTCATACATCTGAACAAAAAACAAAGAAGGAAAGGAGTTGCATGTGTTGAAGGGCATTTATAAAATAATTATGTATTTGCATCCAGTCCAACTTACCAATTGCAAAGAACCACTGCAACCGCCCATAACCCCAGAAGATATGACCTGAATTCTCTTTGCCACCGAGACAAAAGTGGGAAAAAGTTCCGTCCACTTGTTCTGCAAAATCAACTATTGACAATTGAGCAATAGAGAAAACTCAATGGCCTTCTACACAAAAATAATGGGAACAACTTACTGGGTCCATAAAGATTTCAGCCAAAGCTAAACTATTCATGAATACAACTCCAGAATCTCGGGAAGCTTCAACGCGAACATTAGGATTCTTGGGACGACTATTGGGCTTGGGAAACATTCTTTCATAGGCCTCGCAACTAAGAATATCTCTCTCATGGGCGTTTGACTTTGACCTGAGCCACAACGGTTCGTTAGTCTGCAAGAGCCTGAGTAATTCTTCCATGGCATTGGAAGCAATGTCTGACATGAGGGACTTGTCCATGTCCAAAAGGCAAGGAGGATGGTAAGGCAAATTTGGCACTGATGAAGAAGTCCCTGCAGGGAGAAGATCAAGATTAAGGGAAGGACCTGGACCAACCATCCCTTGGTTTCCAAAACTTGCCATGGACAAGTCTAGAGATGACATAAGAATAGGCTGAATTGGCGGAAGTTGAGAAATTGGTCTTCCAATATACTTGGCAGCAATGCTAGATACTCTGTCAAGCTGCAAATTAATTAAAAGACCATTGAAATGGATGTATAAAATTGGAAAAAAAAATTGTTTTGATAAATTATATAACCTCTTCTTTGAGGTGGGCGTTCTCTAATCGTAACTTCTGATCATCATAATAAGAATCGTCGGTGAGAGGAGGGCCGCCACAAGAAGGGCATATAACATTCTTCAAGGCCTCTCTGATTGCGATGTTCTCGCAACGTATCTTGTCATTGTCAGCTCGAAGAGCACAGTTGTCAGCTCTTTCGTGCTGGGCCTGAAGTCGGACATGCGTAATGATTAATGATGATATGCTGGGGGCATTCACATGAATATGTATGTATACCTACCTTCATCTGGGTCCTCCTGTTCTGAAACCAAAATTTGATCTGCCTCGGGGCCAGGCCTAACTCTCTGCTCAAGTGCAACCTCTGCTTCTCATCTGGATGGGGGCACTCTTTGAACATTCTGAAGAAAAGACGGGCATGGAGTTAAGTAATAGAAAATTGAGAATTTATGAGTGGAAGTGCAAATGGCTTACGATTCAAGCCTCTGAATCTGGTTGGCAGTATGACGATGATAACGCTTCCTCCTCTCGTGGGAATCCTGCTCCCTTGGGGACTGCGACCCACCGCCTCCGCTCCCGTACTCCATTTCAATTTAATTTCTCAGTTCTCACCGTCACAACTCTATAACCATCAACATTTTAAGCATGCTACGTATTAATACTAAACTATATTATATAAAAATTAAAAAAGACAATTAAGCATGCTGCTTTAGAATGTAAATGTCAATATTCAAATAAAAATATTGATCTGCAGTGAACCTCAACCAACCAACCTGAGATGAGAAAGAAAGAATAATAAAACACGTACTGAACTCAACTAAACTCTATCTGTCTTCACTTATTGTTTTTGAGTGCAATGAGTTGAAGAGAGAAGAAAGAAGGAACATGTCGCCTCTGTTGAGCCAAAAGTGGTAGAATGAGAATGGCATAACCATTACCAGCTTTAAATGACCCCGCCTGTGCGCTCTTCTTTACCAGGACGCATATGCCCCTTTCCTCTTTCCTCTATTAATAATATTTCTAAACCCATTTCTTGCCATTCGGCTAAAACAGATGCAAATAAAGAAAGCAATACCACCAACATCATCAAAATCAAAATAAGTGTAAAAAAAAACACTAAAATTAAGGCCTTAAAAAATTATAATTCATGTATAACTTGCGTTATTGAAGTTGAAAATTTCACGTAAGAAGAAGATGATTTTAGTTGAGCGAAATAGGGTAAAGATGTTAGGATTTGTAGTGATAGTGCTTTGGGTTTTCATGACATTTGTAAGCATTATAATAGCAGTCAATGTTGGTAGGAAAGATGTACACTCCTAACAGTTTGTAATTGAATGCAATTTGATGGTTTGAATGCAGTTTAATGGTTTGAATGCAATAGTGAACTATATTTAATTGAATTGATTTGCAAAAATAATGAAGGTTTATCTGCACTGTAAACAAATATGTTTTGAATATGTTTTGAACTGAAATAGTATTCAATTGAATTCAATGTTTCATATCTTGTTGTTGTAGAAACACTAAGTTACGTAACTTAGTATCTCGAAATATATAGCATCGCATATTACTACTTGCATATTTATAAGTTATACAACTTACTACATTCAAATATTAACTATTTTTATAATACTACGTGAATGATGGTAGTTTTTGCATAACACAACCAAAAATTATGTCATACATTAGTACCTACAGATTTAATAATTTTCATTTGACTACTTGAATATTGCACATAGCATGCTGAGACAGAAAGACACAAAATTGTGGTCCCAAAAGGTGGACACTGCACGATGCACATTGTTTATAATTTCATTGTCATAAAAAGGTACAATACGGTCCCCAAAAGATGAACATGATTAAATACACATTTTGTAGCAAAAGTAATCCTAAAAAAACATTTATTCCTTACTCCTCTGTTCCTGCTATGGTTCTTTTTCTGGTGCACTTGGTCCTTCTGGCGTTGGTCCTTCTGTAATTGGTGTTTCTGTTGCAGCATTCTCGTCATTCAGACCTACTAGCTTTTTTGTTGTGGTTACTCCTTTGGAGGGTCTTCTTGGCACCAATTTTGGTTACTATTAAAGGCCTCACTCAAATTATTCATCAATAAATCACACTTTGTATGAGAGGAGAATTTATGCTTACACTATGCTTTTCTGTCAAGGTTATATAACCACCAATATGCAACCTCATTCAGATCTCTAATTTGTTGTATCTTAGACTTCCACAGTTGTTCATACGTTGCTTTGGCAGCACCCATCATTAAGTCTCTTAGTTGCACACCTCTTCCAAATTTCTTTTTGAAATTATTGAACAAACGTCTCAAACAGAACCTGTGTTCAACTAGGATAGGAAACTCTTTAAACACTTGTAGCAAACCTGTACAAAATGACAGTTAATACAAATATTACCAAAAACTTACACAATTATAGTCAGTAGGTATGAATTAATTTACCTTTTGTTGGTCACTCATGAAAACCCATTTGTTGGTATGTACATCACCAATATCCTATAAAAGCAAATTCAGAAACCGTTTCCATCACTCTTTCGTCTCAGTTTCCACAATAGCAAATGTCAAGGGCAAATATTGATCGTTTGGGTCTCTAACAACAAGCATAAGGGGCTGGGCGCCTCAGATCCGCTGAGCGCCTAAGAGACAAAGAGCATCTTTCTTCCGGGGCCAGATCCGCTCAGTGGATGGTAGTGGCTGAGCGCCTAGAAGGCAGAGAGCACTCCTTCTTCCAGGGCGAAATCCGCTGAGCGCCTTGGAGTGGCTGAGCGCCTCTCCTTTGCTGCATTTGTTGAGCTCTCTAGCTTGAATCCGCTCAGCGCTTTTCAATGATTGAGCCATTTTCCTTCAGATTTCATAACCTACAAAATAAGCACAAAATTGGGTCAAAAGCTTCATCACTCCCTATACTAACATAAATCAAAAGTCCCTCTCTGATTCTAAGTGTATATAGACCAAAATTATATCAATATGTAAAAAAATTGTGCTAGATAAGTGTCTCAAATGCATATTTAATCATATTAGTTAGACACTTATCAGTAAGTCACGTTCAGGGCTAGTCATTTCAACAGGCTCTTCATCCTCAACAACCCAAACTACTTTAACTCTGACACCTTCTAAGTCAGGGTTATGAACACTATGAGCAACATTTTCCTGCTCCTCCTCAGTATCATCATGTTGTTTCCTTGCAACTGTCTTCTTTCGAGTACGTTTGACTCAACCAAATTGAGGAACTTCTATATCAAATTCATCATCTAATCCAGCAGCCCTCTCCTCCTCTGAATCATCCAACCAAACATCCCTCACAGAGCCATCATCACTGTCACAAAAATTATCCCCAACAACACCTTCATTGCCACCATCACAAATTGCAAACATTTCCACTTCCACATTGTTAGTAATTGCAAAGTTTGTCATGTCTAATGCAACACTATCACAATTAATCTCTTTGAAATTAGAAGGACCAAATTTCCACCACAGCCTAACAGAATGCTCTCCATATGCTAAGTCTTCTTTTACAGTTACCATGGCTTCAAAATAGGACCACCTATCCATATCCATATTCTTCACATGCACTGGCTCGCTGCCTCCAACATAATGCATCACGGGGTCTAACTCAAAACGACCCCCGTGATAAAGTTTCAAATTGAAACCCATTAACACAACTGCAAAGAAACCAAATCTTTGAGTCAAAAAAACCTTAGCAACAGAACAGTTAAAAACTATCAAATTGTAAACCCTAATAACATAACCAACCACTTGCCTTCAACACAGATGAAGAATGGCAAGGGGCTTCGTCCATAAAAACTTTGGCAGTGCTTCAACAATGACAACAACTACCTCTATTTATGGCTACAAAATCTCACCTCCACAAATGGTCATCGAAGAATGGTGCTTCAAACTTCTAACCCAAGAAACAAACAACCATGTACAATGCGCATTTCCAAATTAAAGAAACACAAAAACGGAGCAGCTTCACGAAAAAGGAGAATGAAAATAAAAATCAAAACGAATTACAACTTCAATATTTTCAAAATAAAAAAGGAACAGTTTTCAAACATGATTTTGTGAGTTCATGAAGGTTGAAGATGAACGGGTTTCTGAGTTCGTAAATTTTCAACATATGTGCCAAACTAATTTTTTTAAAAATTTACAAATCTGACGTGACAATTTACGTGAAAAATGAGGTGGTATTGTGTGCTGACATGGCATATAATGTTGGGCGATGACGTGGCAGTCTGTTTGCCACATCATCATTGAACAGATGAAACTAACGTCAGGTACTAATTTGAAAAAAAAATATTAGTCAGGTAATTTAAACAAAAAAAATTAAAAATAATAATCTGAAAATCGACCTAATTCGAGATAGATTAAACATATTTAAACCATTTTTTATTTATCTATATATATATATATATATATATATATATATATTTAAAATGCACTTTAAAATTAAAGAAAATAGTTTATATTATCAAATGCGTAGATCAACTAGAACATTATTGTTTTTGCCCAATAAATAATTTTGTGTTTAAATATTGAATATATAACTATGTTAAATATTATTTGTATAAAAAAAATGTATATATATGAAAAAATTTATTGTTCATCATAATCATAATTTTATTTTTCATCATAATCATAATCCTATCTGATTTGAGCTTAAATAAATTTTTAAAGAATGATAGTAAAAAGAGATAAAGTTAAAATGATAATTTTATATTATTCTATTTCGATGTTCCCAAAAAAATATTTCTGAATATGAAATCAGTAGATTCAGTACTAAAAGAAAAATGGAAATATCCGCTGGATTATTCGTACAATGTCCCAAAATAAACATACACCGAGGTTGTATGAATCATTATTCTTTTTTTTTCAAAAAAAAAAAAGAGAAGAAAAGTTTGATATTGTAAGAAAAATACTTATTCTTAATCCGGAATGCTTCAATTCTAATCAATGAACACATATACAACAAAAAAACAATATGAAACTATTGTTTCTAAGGTTTTTCTTGTTCATAATGCAATTAAACATATTTTTTAATGATAAAAAAGTTAATCACTTATACACTATCAGTAAAAAAATTTTACACTGATAATCAATTATATTTTTTAGTTGTATTATGTCATTATTAAAAATAAATATGTTTATAGTAACATGATATAATTAAAATATATAATTAGTTATTAATATTAAAATTTTTACATTGATAATATATAAATGATTAACTCATAAAAAAAATTAAATATATTCTTTTTGGCGTGTGCATTAAAAGATAAAACGGTTGGTCTTTATCCAAATTGGCTTGTCGTTACGGTATATTGATTATGGTGATATTCTTATGAAGTAAAAAAAAAAAAAAAAGCGTTTATTATAGAGTTCATCCTTTTCCAAAATATGCAATTATAGGAAGCAAATCCGTCGTTTTTCTTCCGTTTCTGTTTTAATGTATTTTCCATACCATTTGCCTAATTGCGTTGATTATGAATTATATATATATATATATATTCAATTTAACAATTAAATTTATATATTTAATTTTAATTTAAAATTATTAAACAGTATAATACTTAATAAAAGTTATATTTGAACTTTATATATATATATATATATATAAGCATAATAGATAATATTTTATTCTGCTATCTCATGTTCAGAATTTCAGATAGACTCTCCCAGCCCTCATTGGTTTGGGGATCTAAATTACACGCCTATATAGGAAAAAAGTACAATAGGGTTCAGTTATAAAAAGCAAAATTGGGTATCAGATATGAGCATTCAAGTTTCTGGAAATTTCTTTGGCTATATATTGAATAAGAAATCTTAACTTACCAAAACTACATTAATGGTCAACATAAACTTATCAAAACTACATTATGAAATTTATGAATATATGGAAAGAACAAATCTACCAGTCATGGCATTAGTAATTGAGTTTGTACCAAAACAAAATATTTTTTATAAAAATATTTCTGTAATATTCAGTATTAACTTATTCGCTAGCAATACTTTTGCTATATAAATGTTGATTGTATTAAATGTTCTGTGTGTAAAACCAGGCATCATATATTTATAAGTAATAAAAAGAAAAATAAGAAGATGTATTGGATTGAAATTTTAAAAGATAATTTTAAATGAAAATGTCTTCCAGATTTTAATTTTAATAGATTTTAAAATACTTAAATTTTAGTCCAGACTTTATAATTTAGATTTTAATAGACTTGAATAGATGTATATTATAAGATTTTAAATTTTATGATTTCACATGAAAACATTAACTTGTAAATAATTTTAAAAATAAACAGTTAAATTTTAATAATTTTAAAAATAAACAGTTAAATTTTAATAATTTAAAAATTTTAATAATAGATAATATTTAATAATATAAAAATCATTTTAAATATTTAATAATTAAAATAAATAAATATTGATAAATTATACATTAATTGATAGATAAAAAATATAAGAGAGGAAGAATAAGAGATAAATTAAAGTGAATAAAAAAAAAAGAGAAAAAAGATAGTGAAAAGAGAGAGAGAAAGAGAAAGAGAAGCAAGAAAGGCAAGATAGGAGAGAGAAAAAGAGAAAAAAGAAAGAAATGATGGAAATAAAAGGAAAAAGGTCATGCAAAATCTCAAAAGTTTTAACGAGATTATTTGATGAGTGAATTACATGTAAATTATATTAAAAAGTCTCACAAAATACATTATTTAAAATAATCCATTGAAATCTCTATATTTTTTAATATCATCAAACTTTTTTTAACTAAAAAAAGTCTTAATTGAATACTACTAGATCTGACTCTTAAAAAAATTGATCATCTTAATTGAATATCATCAGATTTTGATGAATTCTTATTTTTTTTAATTGTCTTGTTAAATATCACATGATTTTTTTTATATTAAAAAAGTATTGAATGAATACTACAAGACTTTTTATAATAAAAAAATCTTTTAAAATTTATTGAAATCCTAATCCAATACACCTCCCTAAAAACTGGACAAACTCATTTCATGAAACTAAGAGATTTTTTCAATTAAAAAATATTAAAAAAAAATACTAGTCATGGGTGGTATTCGATTAAGATTTTTTCTTTGCAAATGACAAAAAGTGGTGCTCTTAGTGAAGAGATGAGAAGGAAGGCACATGGTTCTTTATCTTAGTAGGTACTTATCACAAAAAATAGTAGGAGAAGTCAAAAAAAAAAAAAACCAAAGGGTGGTAGAGAGAAAAACAAGAGTAAATCCAAGTCAAGATACAAAAATGTGGAGTGCTATTATTGTAATAAACTTGGACATATCTAAAATAATTGTTTTCTATGGAAAAAGGAGAACAAAGGTAAGAATGGTAAGTAGAAAGAGAAGGATCATGATGATGATCGTGTCACCACTATTACAAGTGGTGATCTTATTCTTTTTTGTGATTATGAGTCTATTAATTTTGTATCAAATGAGAGCATGTGAATTATTGATAATGATGTTACGCTACACGTTATATTGAGGAAGGAACTATTCACATCTTATACTTTTGGTAATTATGGAGTGTTGAAAATGGATAATGATAGTGTGTCTAAGATAATTGGTATTTGTGATGTTTGTCTGCTAACCAATATGAGAATGTAGTTGTTGTTTAGAGAAATCAAACATACTATTAATGTTCGTTTTAACGGTATTGCTAAAATATTAAAAGAAATTTAAGGTAAGATACACCCTCTATTAGTCGATTATGAAATATTTGTTAAATGATTAAAGCTAATTTATGCAGTATTTTACACTTAAGTAGTTTTGAAAATTATATATGTAAATAGTTTTTTTTAATTAATTACACTTTTGGAGTGATTTTTTTATGGTGTCGTTATTGTCATAAGATAGATGTGACATGTGAATTTTTTTATTTGATCAGAGTGATACATGTGTCATGTAATTTTTTTTAATTTTGTCTCAGTCGTGTCGATGTTGTATGTCGTTACGGTTAATAATGACATTAACAAGATTATAATTAACTGTAATAACTTGTTAAATGACATTATTTGTAGTGGTAATTTTTTTTTACTTTTTGGTCGCTGTGGTCTTTCAATTTTTTTCCCTTCTGGTCACTATGACCCATACCACTATCCCTTTTTATTATTATTTAATTATTTTTCTGATTTGTTTTTTATTTTTAAAAGTTGATAAATAAAGAAATTATTTAAAAAAATTTAAAATATGCAAGATTTGTTTAACAAGTATAACAATTTTTTTTTAACATATATTTATTTCATTTTTTTTCATTTTACGTAATTTTTGTTATCTTTTTTATTTATTTTTTTTAAATCAAGCTATTTTTATTTATTTATTTTTCTAGTTTGTTTGTTTATTTATTTTCAAAAATTTGATAAATAAAGTTCTATTCTAAACAAAAATCTTATATATTCTTTTCTTCAAGATCAAACTAGACTTTACATAAAGGAGTCCTCTACTAACACAAAACTCATGAGGAATTACTTAATTTCATAGTTTTTCAACACAAAATAACTTACCAACCCAATAACATATAATTAATCAAAATTAATAACAACACCCTAAAACTCATAGTGTTACAAAAAATGGGTGAAAACATATCATTTTACATAATAATATTCATGAAATTTAAGTAAAAAAAGGATAATTGATACAAACATAATAAATTTTGAATTATATAATAAGTAAAATTAAATTATTTTTCTTGCTTTATGTTTTATTCAATTTAGTTAATCAACTAATTTCTATAATATTAAATAAAAAAGTATAATTAAATATATGTTGAAACGTGTATTATACATTGTGTTGTGTGTATTATTTTTTATTTTAATTTAATATTTTATTATATATACCAAGTTAATTTATGTTCATCAGAATAACAATTTCGCTTACCTATTATCCAACTTAATTATAATTGAGTAATATAAATTTACTCATTCCAACCTACAAAAATTTTAATTGATTAGTTTGGGTAGGTTGAATTCATAAGTTAATCATTACCTACTTACACTCCTAGTGAATAACTCATCTAATTACTCTAATGCACAATGATTTGTTTAAATTTTGTGTAAAGTACATATATTTTGTGAAAATGTAAAAAATTAAATTAAAATATTTTATAGAAAATTACTTAATTGGTGAATACTTATTTAAATTTAATTTAATTTTTTCAAATGATTAATTATTAAAATAAGTATTAATTTAATTTATTAGATCTTATGGCAAAAGTCATAATATGAGTGATTTCTAATATACTAATAATATTGTTTTATGGATTTAATTTAAATATATTTGATGTTTAATTATATATTATTATATAATATGAAATATTTTAAATTTAATTTAGATTAATTTTTAATGTATTAATAATATAATAATGATTTATTGTTTTATATAGTAGGGTAGTGGTTACATTTCCTTTTTTTATATATTTATTTTATTTGGATCGAAGGAAACAGGGGGTGAGTGGGCCTAATAGTACAGGGCCTGTGAAAAAATGAAAAGTTCGTAAATACGTGTGACAGAAATAGTTGTGATTGTATTGTTTAATTCGGGGGATACTACTACTGATTGGAATTGGAAGAGGGTAGTAGACAGAGAAGAGAGGTTGGGATGGCGGATCCGTACGAGCGGGTGAAAGGCGGAAGGTTAGCATTCAAAGGAGGAATCCTTGCCAGCCGCTCCAAATCCATTGACAAGAAGGGGAAGAAAAAGAAGAACAAGAACAAAGACACTAACCCTAACCCTAACCCTAATCATGAAGGTCAAGAAGAAATCCTCCTCGATATGGACAACGACAAACAGGTTGAGGGCGAAGGTCAGGGTCAGGGATCGGAATATACTATCGATGCAGCAAAGCGTATGAAGTACGAACAACTCTTCCCTGTCGAAGCCAAGAAGTTCGGTTACCAACCCAAAACCAACTTCAAGTCAGTTGAGGATGCTCTCGATGATCGCGTCAAGAAGAAGGCTGATCGTTATTGTAAATGAGTACTCTAATGTATGTCTATTCTTCCCTAATTCATTTATCTTTTCTAGTTCCCCCAATCCAATCTCAATTAATTGCCATTTTCTCTCTGCTGATTTCAATTACAATTTTGTCTGTAGGTAGCAGGGGTGCCATGGACCATGCACTTTTCCCGCTGCTGTAATGTATTCTGTTTCAGACCTTTGAATATTTCGAACGGATCATTACAATAGTATGTTTATGTAGAATCATGTCTAGTTCTTCTATCAGTTACAGTGATTAATCCTCTTAATTTTTTATGCTAATGTGGGATATGCACTGCTTTCAACTAGTGTCTCATACCGATACATAATTTTTAGATTCCAAGAAACATGGGATCCAAAGTCCATTTTTTCTTGAAGAACAAAGGGAGAAAAAGATAAAAGCAATAAATTGTTGCCTGCCTTTACTTAAATGTCTGTTTGCTGAAAAAACATACGTGCTCACTTCGTCCAGATTGGTGGTTGTCTGGGAAATGAAAAACAGCTCAGTTTGATTTCTCAAATCATACTGTGGGTAGGGTTTCGATACGATTTTATAGCATGTGTTTCACTCGGCATACCATTGGTGTAATTGGGTGTCTTCGATTCTACCACATTTTAAACACTAGAACAATCTGTTTCACCAACGAGACTAGGGTCTAGTCTCCACAACACAGCGATTCAAGGTGTTCACATTCTACATTCTAAAAAAAATTCCTATCTTGATGTGTATGTGTGAATAATAACTTTAATGTCCATATCCTTACACATTGGCCGCCTATACAGTTATATTCAAATCTACTAGTTAATTGGAATATGATTTCTAATTTATTTATTTGACAAACAGTATGTCAATAAAAAATACGTGGAATGCATGATGATAACATTCTAATGACGTTAGCTACAAGTTTACACATGGATTAGAATCCCAGCATAGGTAACTGGAAAAACGAGTTCTCCATTACATACAGTCATACACTGCATGGAATTTCATAACTTCACATTTTTAAATTTGCAGTATGTTTCTGTCACGGCTTTTACTTTATCTTTTGATCATAAGTTGAAACTTTCAGGCCTAACTTCATAAATTCAAAAATACTTCAATTCCTGTAAATAAAATCTAAATAGCTAGATACATGGGAATTTATCGACAGTTGTACTGTTCCGATACATACCAATGCACACATGGATAACAACAAAAATAGAGGAACTAGCTTTTTCCATTGGTTATAATGGCCTTCATGTTGAAACTTTCATTTTCCCTTGCAAATGCATGTCCCGATAGTTGTGCCATTTTTTGTATCTCTGCATTCCTTTCAAAACAGGTCTAAGCCGAGGAGCAGTAGTGCAAGTTAAACAACAACAACCTCTTAGATCCTTTACACATTTTGCGCAACACCTGCATTACAAAGGCTAACATGCTTGACATAATGAAAATCACCAAATGCAAAAAAAATAAGTATTAAAAGGAAGACAAATGCAACAAAGAAAGGAGTCTTACAGAAAAAGCAAATTACAATCAATATTTGCACAGTTCCTATGTCTCAATTCACTGACTTCCAAAGTACATATGTAGCATTTTGCAAACTTATCATCTGTCGTCAACTGTGCTTCAGTTGTGTCTCCAGTATAGTAAATAGAAGGAGGTAGAGACAGACGGGAGTCAAATACAAATAAATTTCCTACCCATTCTGCAGGACCTTCATTCTTTAAATAGTGAGAAACACCTCCCTTAAGGGTATACAAATTCTGAAATCCCTGCTGCCTGTCACATGGCATCAAAGCAACGCAATGCACCAAAAATAGCAACATGAAAAGGGGAAGAATGAGTAAGACAGTAAATTCTTCAGTTCCATGAATAAACCATTTTTCCTAATCAAGAGAAGAGACAATGGGCAGGTTGGAGTACAAGTATAAGGAAGGAGGCAGAGGTTACAGTGCTTAGGTAGAAAAAAAAAACTCAATAAAAGATTATTGTTGATATGGTGTGTTATGTGATATAATACAAAATATTAATCCAACGATCCCATTTAAACTGGTAATTAGCCAAGTAGTGCTACTAAATTAGAGTTTGGTTTTAGGGCTTAACCCCACATTTTGTTAGGAAGGTGAGAATTATCCAAACTTTATAAGTTCTATATAAGTCATATCTTTAGTAGATGGAAAACAAACTAGCTTTAGCACTACAATTAAGGCAGACCAAAGAAGCCACAACTAGGATGCGATAGGGGTGTCCACAACTAACACATTTTGATAAGTCCACTACATAATCATAAAATATTGTCAAGATATTTTGAGGTAATTTATTCTAACAAACTTGACAGGAGTAGCATTCCTTTGCCTATTGAAAGGGATGAGCAACTTTGCTAAATAAAATGAGGTTAATAATTTTGAGCTTGAATTGTTTTTGTTTTAAAGTAATTAGTGAAAGCGATCAATTCTTTTTTAACTGTGCCTGTTATATCATCAACGTGTTTCCAATTTTTTAAAAGGATCGTGAGGTAGCGGAAAAAAATTGTTTATACTTTTCTTTTAAAAAGAGCATTTTAATAATAAAAAGGCAATTTTTCTACTACTACCATTATGTCTACTCCAACTTTCTTCTAGCCAATGCATGTAACAATGGTTAAAACATCATTTAGTTTTCTAAAAGTGCATGTCATTGATACTTTAGTCCCTGATAGTAAAAAAATTCAAACAATACCCTTCAAAGTTCTAGTTATTTTATTTAAGTCCCTAAAAACAACCGCTTATTGACATTATAATCCATAAATATATGTTAATATTATCATTTAAATCACATGTTTTTTTGAATTTTAAACCAAAGTGAGTAATGTTTTACACTTTTATCAAGGACATTTTTTGAATTTTTATACTTTTGGAACCAAAATGCCAACAACATATACTTTCAAGTATTCAAATGATGTTTTACCCGAACTCTACACATGATAAAATAATCAATGGAGGTGTTTGCCATGTTTTTACCATAAATCATTTAAAAGTTTAACACTTTTTGAAGTTAATGGTTGAATTTGGATGGTTACATGAAGTATACATTGCAGTTTTCTTGTATAAAAGAATTGAAACTAAAAACAAAAAAGAATTGTAAAGTGCTTCATATTTCATTGGGCGAGATTTTAACTACTTAAAAAACAATTACTAAATGATTTTTGTGTTTTCATTATAATAAACAATTTTATTAAAAGCTGACCAAACATGGAATAATTTAAGACAATTGATCAAGGTTTAATTGTTTAACCATGATCAAACTATAGTCAAATTAAATAACCAATATAAACAAAAAAATAATAAAAAAATTAAATAACGCAAAAAATAATATTTAAGAAATATAATATCATAACTTTACGACACTAAAAGTACACAAACAAGTCCAACTCAAATATATCATGACTAGTATTTTATATAACTAAAGTTTATAATAAATTAAATATACAAATAAAAATCATGTTTGAATATATAAATTATTTTTAAAATTTGTATAAATACATATTTTTAAATATATAAATTATATTTTAAATTTATGATAAATAACTTATATTATAAAAATATTTTTTTTATTTATTGATAATTTTTTTAAATATTAAAATTTTATTCATAAATAACTATGATAAATTAAAAATTCAATTAGATAAAGAGTTAAAAAAATTGTTAAACCCTCCTGTAGGAGGAAAAATTCCTAAAAATTCTCAAGTAAGATAAAAATTCGCATTTAATGAGTTGATATTTAAGTCCAAATTTAAACAATACACATCAATATCGATCAGCAATAGCAATTTTACATTTAGAATAAAAAATAAATGACAAATATCTTAGGCTGATTTTTCATTTTTTTTTTTAAAAAGGGGTCAAAACTTCATCCCAATAAACATTTTTCTTTGACATGTCGTGAACTGATTTTTTTGATTGTTTTTTTGACTGGTTCTTCTCAAAAGTTGGTTCTATGATTCTTATTAAAATACTTTCTACTTTTGTTTCCTCAATCAAAATATCAAGAACACTCTTTGGTATTCTCTTATAATAACTTACCTTAGCATTGTAGAATATACATCACAACGAATCCCACCAGTGCAATACATCAATATGGTTGCCTTTTCTTTATCCACATTTGATAAAGGGTCTGAAGCAGTGATCTAAAGAGGGCATATCAAAGAGGAGTACATTAATATTCATAATGGAGAGATAAAACTTTGGATTAGTGATTCACATATCCCAATCTATTACCTAGGCAAAGCTCATAACTAAATGAGAAGAAATCTTTATGCGAAATCAGAATTGACAGCTAGAGTGCCGCATTCATCATAAGTCATAACAATTTATAAATGAAAAAAAGTTTTTTTTTTCCCGTGATTAACAACGTCAAAATTCAATGCAAGAAAACTAAGATTTTATGACATTACTTTGATATTAAAAAAAAAGTTATGCAACTTGATGGCATGTTTCACTTATCACGAGAGCATCTCAATCCTAAATCAGTCCACATTAGGTCACTCAGACATCAAATAATAACCCAACCTCTTCCTGAGACAGACCAAATGAAGTGTTCCTAAAGCAGTCCACACTAGGTCGCTGAGCCCCACGAAAATGTCCAATATCCCACTCATAACCTGAATAACAGCAATGATACTGTATTCATCCTTAGAACTAATCATTTTAAACAATAATTTTAAAACAAACAGAACGGAAACGTCGGAAAATATATCAAGATATTTAAAAGCATGATTTGAAGATCTCAACAAAGGGCAGAAGAACCAAAAAAATTCTGATCTAAAATTAACTATCAAGAATATAAAACCTGGATACTCCAAAAATATAAAAGTATGGGTACCGTACCTATGTCAGACACCAATATTCCTCGAATACTTTCGGATACATATCTAAAAAGTTATATATATATATATATA